ACAGAAACAAATATCAAGAGATTTAAAAGCTGGTCCAATCTTTACACCACTTCAATACACCACCGCAATTCAGAGAGCTAGGAAAACGGAGAAACCTTTTATCGTTCATACTTTGAATCATGATTTCTTTTACGACTTGAAAGATTTACAAGTCAAGTGGGGATATAATTTCAACGTTGACGAAGCGAGAAGAATACCATCGTATGGAATCACATCAAAGTTATGAAATTTACGAAAGGGAACCCATTCTCTTTTCAATATAAGACATCATACAAAGACGCGTTTAAACAAATAAATGCTAGTAACAAAAGAAAGAAAATGTTGGATAATGAAGAAATATCCATCAAAACAGTTTATAGTGCGCCATTTGAGTTGAGTTTAAATAAGCAACAGGATTTAAAAGAAGTAATTTCTAAGAGACTTATTGACCCTTATCATGCCTGTTACTATAATAATATGTTAATGTGATTGTTTTCTAATTGTAATTTTTAATACTTTGTTTTATTTTTGAAATGTTTTATGACTATTACTAAAAACTTAAGCCTGCTGACTATTTTATATTTTATAGTTCTTTAGTTACTATTCTAATCGTTAGCTATTCTATTCGAACATGACTGATTGTAAAAAATGAATATGATAGATCTTAAGCGCTAGCACAAAAGAAGAATGATTTCATGTTAAACAAATTTGTTAATTTTTTTGTCTAGTAAATTTAGTAATTTTTTGTCAGATCTACTTTAGTTTTGTGTTACATTATAAACATTAAGACAATTCTGTTTTTTTTTATATGACTGCTCTAAAATAAGTGTTAAGATTTTGTTATTGGATTTGTACGCTACATGTCTATTACTTTTTAATGTTTTTCAGAATAAATTTATTTGTTGTTAATCTTTTACGATTTAATGTTTTATTAATTCCTTTACAAGAGGCACTTTTATCATTGAAAGTAGTTAAACGTTATTATTACACAGCCATATTTAGATTTATTACATAAAAACATAGTGTATCTTTAATCATTAAAAGGCTTAATTCGTAAGATGCCTTCAAAATTTAAAGAAATTAGTGGGAGAGGGGCCTATCTCGGGAGAGATTTTTTGAAACTTTTTTTTTTTAATTAAATTAACTTTTTTTGTAATATTTTGATTATTCATTATAGAGTACAAATACTGTAAATTGTATACCTAGATTTTTATTTATCTATCTTTTCAAATAAAAATGTTATAGGTGAGTAAATGAAAACGATGAAGTTGCTCAATCTGTAATCTCGTTTTCCCCAAAAGTAACGATTTTCGAGATGTGCCCTTTTAATAATAAGGATGCGATATCTTTATCTTACCCAATGACATATAATAAATATATACTATACGTCATTGATCTTACCTTACCATTACTGTAACCTATATTTTTATCAATTTTTCGAAAAAAATAATTACTGTGAAGTAGAAAATTTCTGATAACAATATTTGAATCATCAATTTGTAGAATGAATTAGCAATAAATCAACTGTATCGTTTCAAGAACAAAATGTGATTAAAATGTCAAATGTTGATAGTTCAGATTTCTTGCCTAGGTGGCGTCGTTAAATTACTGGAGAAACAGTGTGACTAGTCATCATTATATTATTTTTAAAAATTTTGATATTTAATAAATATCAAATGCTTACCATAATTAAAAAACTTGTGTTATTGATTTACCGTAAATCTATCTACAAAAAGGTTGTCTAATAAAATCCAGTTCATCAAAAAAATAAATCTTTCGTACGACAGAACACAACTGAAAAAATAGTAAATTGAAAAAGTAGGAAAACAATAGTGTGCAATTATTTTTTATGGTTTCCTGCTTGAAAAAATAACGTATCGTATATATTCCAAATATAGTCAATATTATTTATTTTTATAGAACAACTTCCATTATACACCGAAATGAAAACAATGCAGTAAATCAGAATTTCAGTTCATTTCGAATGAAAAATGACTAATATTACAGCCATATTTATTGTTTGCCGCAAGAAAATGTCGCTAACACCGTTAGGAATTACAAGCTCTAAATGGAATGGAATAATTTCCCACAATTCCTCTTAAACGCGGAACCAGCTTCTAAGTATTTACAACAATTATTCAGGTTAATACTACAACAAAATGTTAGTCTATATGCGCCGACAAAACTATGCAATATATTTTAATACAGTTTTTTTTAATAACAGTCATATTCATTAATTGAGAATGTCTCTGTCATGTTATATACATGTATATAAATATATATATGTATATATATATATATATATATATTATATATATATATATATATATATATATATATATATATATATATAGCACAGTCGTTTCTAATTGAGAGTTTCTCGCTTTTTTGTGTTTTTTATATCAATAATGCAAGGACCTGATTGGGTAGATAAGCCATTTTCTTCTGTGCTATTTCATTGAAATTTCCTATAAAGTCCTTCTATTCTGTTCTTTTTATTTCTTGCTCATATTTGCAAATCTTTTTTTGCATATAACAGTTGTACTGTTAGTGGACAGACGTTGTTTAAGAATTTCAAGTCCTCTGTCTTAGACAAGGAAAGTAAGGGGACGCGTAATCGTATGGAATTGGCAGAAGCAAAACCGGCACCAAACCGAAAGGACTCCAGGTCATATTTTATTTCTTCAGTAGATTGAGAATAATGGATATATATATATATCAATATCAATAGATTTTTTCAAAATTTATAATTGAACAATGACATAATGATCACTTTTTGAACATGATTTTATCATTACATAGTTTTTAGTAGATCGATATAGTGTCTCAATAAATCAGTAAATTGAAGTTGAAATCAGTAGATCTACTGAAAAATCAGTAGTCGTGGTAACCCTGCAAAAACTAGTAATGGGCAACGTACAGGCACCAAACATGGCGGTCACATCGAAACTGGCTTCACTTTTCGAAGCTTTATTAAATGAGTGTTACCTGTCCTCTCTCTTTCCTTATCTACGGTATAGGTACTTCATCGAATAATCTAAGCAGGTTAATGCACTTCCTCAGTAGTTTGTTTATACGGTCAAAGATCTTTTCGAAGTTAATAAACGTTATATTTATGTCTTTTTGTAATTTTCTTGATTGTTCCAAGATAACACTTAGTGTACAGATGTGGGCAATAAAGGCAATAAGCACAAAAGCCACCTTGTTTACTTCTTATATTTTTGTTGTATCGGCTTCAATCTATTTAATATAATCTTTGATAATATTTGACTAAACATGACTTCGTTATTTGACTTTATTACATTTAAGTTTATGAAAGGAAATGCATATTTTTGAGTACCAATTTTGATTACTGACACACTTTTTTCTATTTTATGATTATTAGACTGTTTTTTCTTATTTTTTATGTAAAAACATCGTCATATACTGAGAATAAATACCAGCAGTCGTATTATTATACCTTAGTTCCTAGGCCATATATATATATATTATATATATATATATATATATATATATATATATATATATATATAATATATATATGGCCTAGGAGGATAAATTCGTTAAACTTCCCGTGCTCGAATCGGTATCAATAAAGTGTTATAATCATTTCGACCTATCCCAGCCTCATCAGACACTTGGGCTAATACATATTCAAACTCGGAAAGTCCAACGAATGTCTCCCAAAACTTCACTACAACAGTAGTTAGCGTGCAGAGGCGCCACCATAGCATTGTCACTCGACACTAAGGAGTAGGCAGATTGGATCCTCAGTGCCGAGAGACAGTTCTTGTATTTATTATACAGAAACCGATACTAGTACGTCTCGAGGTAGGGGAGTGAGCAGATTGAGATCCCGACCTCGAACCGAAACGTATCACTCTTGATAATGGCTCCAAAATGGGAGCCGAATCGTCGAGCATTAAATTCTCAACGCGGTTGAACCTAGGGATTTTCATTCATCTGACCGCGGAAATCTATCCGCACATTTTATTCGTTTCTACGGGGAGGAATTTTTCATTTTCACTAAATCCTTTTCTAAACTTCTAATACGCAAATACCGTCTTCTGCGTTATCTTGCTTTTCTTAAATCATGTCGTGACCATCAAGTCATTCCGAAATTTCTTCAAGTTAAACATCACACTAAATCACCATCTATTTCCAAAATTCTTAGAGCAACTGGTTTTTCGCTTCTTAAAAATTCAATTCATTTCACACGCCGCCACTTAGATTCAACAAATTTCCAACTTCTTAAAATATCAGATAAATATCAGATATTCAGATATCCGATTCTGCTACCAAAGCTCTGTCAAAAGGCTTCAATTTTTCTGTCACTCCTCTTTCCATACAAACAGAGAAAATTATTTGTCAAACTGAAGAAGCTATTTCTCATCTCCCTTCAGACCAAGCCGAAATTGCCAGACAAGATGTTGCCAAAATTCTCCGTACTTCCAAACCCCCACCGTCAAATATCAGTCTTTCAGAAAGACGTGCTCTTAAAGAACTTTATAACAACCCTGACATTGTCATCCTTCTGGCCGACAAAGGTAATGCCACCGTCATTCTCAACTCTCCTAATTATTTCGACAAAATGTTCAAACTTCTCAATTTCACAGAATACAAACGCGTCCCAAACGATCCCACTACATATCTAGAAAAAAACTACCAAATACATTATAAATAAGTCTACTCTACCTCATACAATATCGATGAAGGCGGAAAATATACATTTGAAACGGCGAATTCGGCGAAAGTGACATCAGAAGGGGTAGATGACCAACTAAAAGAGTATATAATGCTCTTACGCTGTAGTAAAAGCAACTTTTCCTGCACGTCTACGAGCAGCAAAACTCCACAGTTAAACCCTGATCTTCAAAGTCGGGGGGTTAAAGCATTGGGCTGACTCCCAGTTACTCAAATAAAAAACAAAAATATTAAAAAACTCAGTAAGACGCCTCGAAATGGATTGATCAACAAGCGACGACGTACGCTACGAAAAAGAATTATGAATTAATAAAATAATGTATGAAATAAGTACAACAAAATTGGACATCACAGTGATAATTGAAAGAAATCGAAAGGGTCAAGGATCAGAAAACATCGGAGGATATGATTATTTCTGCAGCGGGATACCAAAGGAGATGAGAGCCCAACAGGAAGCCTTTATATCAATACGAAAGAAACTATGGAAATGCAGGCAAACTACTTGGCAGGCCATAACTAAAAGGCCAATAGTAATGTGCCCTACTATAAAAGGACAAAAATGCACAATCTTGGGAGTGTATGCAGTAAATGATGATGCACCAGTAAGCGTTAAAAATTATTTTTTTAAGAACCTGCATTTATAGATTGCAAAATTAGCAGATTTTGTGAAATTATTCTCTTGGTAGACTTAAAACAGCAGGACTGAAAGAAAACACCATAACGCAGTCATAGGTTAATTCCAAGAGGACTATGTAAATGATATTGGTACCAGACTAATAGTTTACGCGAAAAAAATGAACCAACAATTGCTCATGGATTTTTTCAACATAGGGACATACACAAATATACATGGACACAAAATATAAGAGGAATAAAATCAATCATACACAATCGGAAGGCAACAGACAAATATGATTTTACAAGACGTAATAGATAGAGAAGAAAAAGAAGATAAAAGAAGAAAGTAAGAGTAAATAGATACAATCGAATAAGCTTATAACATGAATGCAGAAGAAAATTATACAGAAATAGACTAAATATCTAATGACAACTTGCAATATCCGAGAAAATTACCTTATAACTCATATAAAAATGTGTTTCCAGAAGGTACCAACAGAAGCCATCCGATACAAATCCCAGAATCCAAGAAAACTTTCATTTTGTTATGACGAAGAAATAAAGACAACAAATAAAAAATGGATAAATATAAATAGCAAAGAAATAGAGAGGAAAAGAGACAAATATCAAAAATTCTTAAATACAAAGAATGACACTGATAAGAGTCTACAAGTAGACCCAAGTGTGGAAAATGATTCATTTTGGGAACAATATTTTGAGAAACTTCTAAAGTAATATAGACCGCAATTTAAAGACAACAATGAAACGCAAAGCATAAATATACGAATAACAACTAGGAAAGGGTAAAGATTTATGGGGATCTGAAAAAAATAGAAAAGCACCGGGTCGACGTAACATCCCTGCAAAGTTAATAAAATACAGTACATTAATTAAAATTACATTAATAGAATGAGAGTCCCAGAGGAGTGGAAGACACCATTCATACTCTCTAAACCCAAAAAAGGCAGACGTGATGACTGTGACTGTGTACCAACTACAGAGGCATTGCCGTGACACACTTCATCATCATTATCAATCAGCCAATCGCGTCCACTGCTGGACATAGGCCTCCCTCAGTTATTTCCAGTGTTCCATACACTGGGCCGCTTGTAACCAGTTTCCCGCTACACGTTTGATATCATCGGTCCATCTAGTCGGTGATCGTCCTCGGCTTCTTTTATAGTTTCTGGGCCTCCATTCCATAACCATCTTCCACCGTCCACCGTCCATCTTGTGTTCTGGCTAAGTGCCCTGCCCAGTTCCACTTAAGCGTCGTAGTTCTTTCGATGACGTCTTTAACTCCTGATCTTTGTCTGATTTGTTGGTTTGGTATGAGATCTCGAAGGCTCACGTTCAGCACTGTTGCATTGTGCTGCATTGTCAGGCATTGTGCTGCATTGTGTGTCATGTTCAATAATGCTGAACGTGACACACTTAATTAGTGAAATATACGGAAAACTTTTTAAAAGTATACTACAAAAGAAATATAATGCATTTATTGTATGAAGATCTACTAAAGGTGATTATGATAGCGTTCTACAATGAAGACTAAAAGCGTTAAAGAAATAGAAAGAGACATAAGCATAAATGTAATAAGTGCAATGAAAGAGCAGTTCGCTAATGCTATTGTGTAGCTAAAGTTTGGAAAGTCTGTCGAATGGATGACAATATGAATATAGACCAAATGAATACATATCTTAAACAGCACTGTTGCCTCTCACCGACATTACTCAAAATTGATCTAAAACAGGCTTTCAATCTATCAAAATATAGGAATGCCGATTATCAACAATAGCATATACACTTTGTCATATGCAAGTGATAAACTACTACTAGAGCAGAACTATGATGATATTGGGTAGATAATTCGGAAAATAATTGAAGAATATAAAAAATAGGAACTTATGATTAACATTAGAAAAACAAAGTATATGTCTATCTATTTGGGATTAATCAATATCAATAATAACAAGCGCGGGATATATAATACATTTATTAGAAGTATTGCAAGTGTTGGCAAACACCCGTTCTGAATTTCGGATGCAGAAACATTTTATTTTGAGTAGGAACGTATGTTCCTGGTTAGTTATCCCAATAAATTGGCAATTTGTCGTATAATTTAATACTTTTAAGTAATTATGTTTCCTCCAATGTAAACCCAACCACTGTTTGGTTTTGCGGTTAGTTACGCAAGTAACCAAAAGTTCACTAAAGATGAACTGATTAGTAGAAAAACTTTCTTAACTGAAGGGTTCGAAAAAGAGTCGTAGAGGAAGACATGGATGAAACAAGAGGAGCGGCGATATGGCGTCGATAGTAGGAAAGTAAATCGTTTTAAATCGATCTATATATAGTACATCTATGCTATGAATATGTTAGTAGTTTAGTTGAGATTGTAAATATACAACTTAAGTTGGTATTAGTGAGTCTTATCTTAAATAAATACCCCTGGAAGTTGTTTATAACTAGAATTTCAATAAGCTTCAGCTGAAAAAGGTTGTGAAAATTTGGAAAAAAATTTATAACGAAAAATCGATGTAGTAGCTTGCCATCTTTTAACATTTTATCCTGAATAAAGCTGGAACTATCACATCTACGAAAAAAAAAGATATAAATAAAATTACAATATACAATTTCATCAGAACGTTTTCTGTTTTATCAGATCATCGTCAGTGAAAACATAGTTTGAAACTATCAACTGAGACAAAAATGTCTCAAAAATTAAAATTGAAACCACTTGAAGTCGATGTTAAAAGATTTAACTGTAGAGCGTAGGAAACAAACTGAATCCTACTCGAGCTGAGGGCTACATCTGAGTCTTACCGAAGATACCAGTCAACGTTCTAATAAAATTGTAATTTGTTTGGAAATATTCATTTTTTATTTAAATTTTAGATATATACCATTTTACCCTGCAAGATTTGTACTCATTACAACTTATTTAAACTATGTTATACAGCCAAACACTGGGATCCTTCCTTTTTATTAGTTAAAAATTAACATTGTTTTCAATTAAATTGCTCATTAAATCTTGCTAAATTAATAAACTAGTAAAATAAATTTACAGCGTGTAGAATTCAAAATTCGCAAAAAAATTGTAAAAAAATCGCAAAGCCCGTAGAAATTTTTTGAAGATATAGTATGTACATTTAACAATATCTCTAAAACATTTGTGTAAAACCAAATAAAGTTTAAAGATCCTTCTTCATTCGAAAAATCTTCAAAACTTTGCTGTGTAGCTAATTTTTGGTTATTTAATGTTTTTTACGCATAGACTTACTTTAGTGCTTTAGTTAAAAAAAAATACATTGTTTTTGTTTACAAATAACAAAACTATATTGACAATATCCAATTATAAATTTCATTAATTTAAAATGAGCTAAATTAGAAATAAACGATTTTTCAAAGTAAATTTCATAACATTTTATTTTCTCCATGTCTCGTTAAATAAAATTAGGTCATTTACAAATGCTTTGAAACAGTATCTATTGTAGAAATTTGTCAGTTTTATTCTATAAATTTTTATAAATGAGACAATTTTCCATTTAAATATTCTAAAACCATTTCGCATACATCACACTGTATAAAGACGCTTTCTTTGTAGTCTAACTTATGCATTGTTCTTATTTCCACTGCCACTAGAGAATACCACCCGAAATTATTTCTCACTGATACCTTCCCAGCTAAATAAAGACTAAAGTAGAACAGTAAGATAGCAGCTTTTAGTCTACAAGAAGGGTATGTAAATTTTTTATTTCTTATACAGTGCCGAACTTGACTCTAATAAGTATTTACAAAACACAAATTTATAGGAAACGCAAATAATTCTCAAAAACCAGATTATATAAATGAAAAATACTGCATTATATTTTAGGCTATAAACGATATAAACTCTACATATTTTGATTTTCTATTAATAGTTAAAAACTAAACTAGGTGCGCATTTTGTCTTTTTCATTTATAATTTAGTATTTTTAGTGACAATTCTTATTTTACAAATTATTATTATTTTTTTTATTTCCAATTAACGTGTCTCGACATTTTAGGTCATTGGCACGGGAGCAAAGGTTTACAATAGTACCTACAAAGTTATGATACAGAGTTTACAATAGTGAAGAATAAAAATATTATGTACATTATATTTTGTTAAACAATTGAGAAGTCTTTAAAAAGTCTATTAAGCTTTTGAGTCGGCTTGAACAGTTCAGAAGTTCTTCTAGCTAGACTATGGGTTATATTGTTGGTAATGAGGGTGGTGTGGTAGTGCTGAAATTCTGTGAGGATGTGCTTAATGGTAATAGGAATATCGTTGCAGTGAGAGCATAACTGTTGGTCTGTAGAGGACATAAGATGACCGTGTGTCAAACGTGTGTGTTCTATCTTTTCTTTTCTGTTCAGAGATGCTAGGGATAAATAGCTGTAAACATTAGGTTGTATTTCTCTGAGCTTTGTGTTTTTGGTGATCCAAAGTTCCTGCCACTTATCTTGGAAATTTCTTTTGAATTTTGATTTTAAATCTTCTTGGAGCTGTAGGTTGTAGACGGGTAAGTTGGATGTAGATGCTTCGTTTGCAGCGCTGTCAGCCATCTCATTTCCTTGGATGCCGATATGAAAAGGCACCCATATTATTGTTATTGAAATCCCTCGGGAAGTGAGGAGATGGATCGATTCTAATATTTTTTGCAGTAAATAATGTTGAATGTAAATATTCTTAACGAATGAATTGCGGATAAGAAATCGGTACACAGAGCTACTACACTTTGATGATCGTCAAAAGGGAACTCGAGAGCTTTTGAAATACTAAAGAGTTCTGAAAATACGCTACATTCGTTTGATATTCGGTATTGTCGCAGCATTGTATCAACTGTAGTGACAGAACAGCCAACTCCATCTGCGTTTCGGGACGCATCAGTAAAAAGCACCTTATCATAGTGGGATGTATTCACAATATCCTTGAAAGCTTGTCCAAAATTGATATTATCTGTTTGTTGCTTATTAAATTTACAGAGAGAAATGTTTATAAAAG